AACAAAAGTCAAGGGGCCGGCTTTTCCTGACCAATCCACTCAGGAACTGAATCGTGCCATTGTCAACAAGACCCCTTTAGTGAGGGCTGGTAGCAACGGTCAATGACTATGGCCCACATCAGCAGTTCTGAGAATGGCACGAACTACCTGCATTGCTAGCTGCAGAACTTCCAGTTGGGTTGTTCATGTGTTTTGTCTAATGGGAGTCGCCTTGGCAGAGGTGCGGCTCAACGAGGCGGGGTCCGTGTACTGCGGAGCGGTGAAGACGTTGAGCAGCTACACACCCTCGATTTCGCAGAGCCGCGACTGAAGGGGGAGGGCGTGTAGGGGGGTGGAGCGGGGGGGGGAAGCAAGGGAGGGAGCAAAGGGGGGGTGAGGAGGGAAGGACTGGAGAGGAAGTGGGGATGGAAAGAGGGACAGTGCGAAAGTCCTCGACTGAACTATGGTCTTCTCCAAATGTAGATGTTCACTTTAGTATGGAGGCTGTAGTCTGAATATGTTTTTTTTGTGTACCATAGATGCTTGCTGGGGTCCTATTGAGTTTCGGATTTCCTGTTGATTTTCCAGGAAGTTCCCGGAATCAAATTGGGGCATTTTGCTGCTTTGGACCAAATCAGGCATATTGCCTCGAAGGGGTTCTTTGGTCTTCATCCAAATCCGTGGCCTCATCCTTTGCCGCTCCTTTTGATTTGCTGGAAGTTCATGGCAACCCAGGGCTACTGCCAGACAACCGAGTTGACCTTGTTAACCTTTTGTTTTTTCCTCTTGATGGCCATTTCTACTGGTTCCAAAGGCGATCACCTTTTGTGTCTGAGTCCAAACGGGGCAACTGAGTTCAAGGCGTTTTCTTTCGAGGGCACACCCTTTTTAATGGCCCCTTTGATTTCCTGATTCCTGGAAATGGGAACCCGGGACTACTCAAGCACCCATGCGCTACGGGAAACCACAAGGCGCCCCCATTTTGGAATTTCGGGGATTGAGAACAGGTGGCTTAACCAACCCTACTCCGATGTCCGAGTTCCCATCTGTTTTCAGACGCTTCGAACACCACTCAGGCAAACCTTACTCGGCGGTTTGGATTGCTGGTTCGGGGATGCCTGTGTGCATGTTTTCGTGTGCTTTCCAGCGGGAATGATTAGGATGAGACTGTTTGCAGCCCCGTAAAACCCAGCAAAACATCCAAGGGCACATTCTCAATCGAGCTGAAGATGGGTTTAGTGCCCTTTGATGAGTTGGGCTACACCCTGTTGTACCAAACCCAGCAATCTGCCTTTGGCCTCTGTGTAGTTCCTTTTGGACTACATGATTGAAATCCGGCAACATGTTATGTGCCGCCTAATGCAAGTTTCCTCTTACCATGCCAAACTGGTAGGAAAAAGGGGGTCGAACGGACCACCCTGATTCTCTCAAAGTTTGCTTCCTGTGTTTGAGAAGCAAAGGGGTCTCCCCTTGACAGCTCTTTGGGGCGTCACTTTTAAGGGGGTTCCTCTTTTTCACCCAGGCATGAGACCGGCCTTTCGATGGTCTCCCTGAAGTCATACTGTCGACGGACCAAATCCTGCACCGCCTCTCCCAACTCCACTTTGCCACTGAACAGGCCGCGCGCCCCGCTTCCCCATTTTATCGTTGTTGGCATTCACAAGAGGTGGTGCAGAATTTTGTCATTCCCACATGTTTGCAACCGAGGGCCCTTAAACTTCCAGTGTTAAGTGCGAGGGTTTGGTAAAGCATGGCGAAAGCGGTGCAGGATTCCGTCAGCAGTAGGGCGATAGCATCCAACCTCTTTTCTCTGAGCCCTCTTCCTTCTGGTTTCTTCCATTATTGGGGTCATGATTTGTGCAAACAGGGCGAGGGAGAAGTGATGCGGGGGGATCGTATGACAGTGTGGCCGAGGATGAAGACGGGCAGTAGCTTGGATGGTCACGACTCTGCCTCGGTGACAGCGAACGCCTACGCAGCTCGACGGAGCTGACTGGCCAAATGAGCTTCTGGTTCCATTTACCAAGGTGCGTTGGTGCATGTGATCGATCCACATGGCCCAGGATATAGGCGAGATCAAATATGGACCAGAATCTGAACATGCTTGTTTGTGTGTACCTCTGATTCGGGCCAAGAGCCAAGGGACAAACGGGCAATGGCCAAACAGCGGCTGTGGACATTGACACTCGCATGCAGGGTCTAAAAAACAGGGGAATCTGCAACATGTGGTTCTGCCTTTGGTTCCCCTTGGAAACGAAGCCAGAATGGGAACTCTAGACTGTTGCCACCTGTTGCCAGCAAAGTGGCAGTTTTGTTGTGCTGCACCTGGTCCTTCTGTTGAGAAAGGTGTTTGGTTGGTTTTCTTGAGCCGGACTTCAGACCATATGGCATCTCTACCTTTGTTGCCAGGGTCTGCTATGCCTCACTTGCAAAAAGTGCCAATAGACCTTTTGAGTTGTTGGTTTCCCCTTTTTGGAAACCACAAGATGATCACCCTCAATTTGTGGTCAACTGAAATGCATATTCCATGAAGCCATCCAGAGTGCTTCCGGCCAAGCCACTATAGTTGGTACCCAGTAAGACGAGATAAGAAAGCCGAAGGGTTACCTGAATTACCTACTGAAGTGGCTTGCCTGGAGGCACTGGGAGTGGCGAAACAGGTGAACTTTCCAGTCGCGAGGTCAACTTGGCCGTCGGCGTCTTGGAGCCCGCCACGCTCTACGATGTGTTCTGTGGGAGCCCCGGTCCAGATTCCATGGCCCCTTCCTAGGTGGGATGGATTCGCCTGGTTTCAGTTAGGCGTCTTGTCATTTGTTGCCAACTATTTTGCAAAAGGACAGTGCTAACAGCACTAACAGCACTAACATAACAGCACTGTTCTCTTAATGTTTGATCCCAGACCTCCAGTGGTGCCCTTGTCTCCTTTTTTTTTCCTGGCGGGGGGGTTCCTCTTTAAACATGGAGCTATGGAAATGGTGGTGCTCTTTTTCCCATGGCAGCAGGAGCGCTGGGCAATTGAGCACCCAAAGCCAGAGTCTTGGCTAAAAGGCAATCATTCTGCTGCCTTGTTGCACACGGCTATGGCCAGCTGAACAGCCTTGAAACACCACAGTAATTTGAGTGCTCAGGGTACCAGCTAATTAAAGAGCTTTGAACAGCTGCACTGACGGCTGAGCCGACAAGCCGACTCGCTATACATGGCCTGAATTAGAGGCTGGTGGGCGGTTCAAACAGCCACACTGGCTCCAAACTCAAAGGTGGCAAGTCGCACACCAACTTTCATGGCATCCAGTTTCGATGATCCTTTCACACATGGAGATTGAAACCACATCATCAAAGTTTCGGTGCTTTGATTATTTTTCGGGGCATGCAAAAAGAAGAAGCAGTGACATCCTTTCTGAGCACAAAGCGACCCTTGGTCAGGTTATGCTGAGGATCTCTTTGTGAATGGCTTCACCCTGTCGCAGGCAGGGAGTGCAGGGGGTGAGCGAGAGCAGGCGACTAGAGAACTAAAAGGTTGCCTTGCAGCGTCCTACGGATTCCGGAGGATGGAGGTCCCTTTGATCCATGAAGGGTTTCTTCGGCTATGGCTCCCAGCCACCCTCTTGCGCCTATGCGGAGGGGGGGGGGGGGTGGGGAGCTACCCAGAAGCTTATCGGAGGTTCATGTGGGAGGAGCTGTAGGGGATGTCCTTCAGCGCAACCAAGCTTGGCTGCTATTTTGTGGGATCTTTAACTTGTTGGGTCTTGAACGTTCTTCTGGGAGAATGTGCGTTTTATCATTCAGCAGGATTAGGACCTTCTTTGCTGGCATCCTGGCAATGGCCTTGGCAAGCAACTTCCTTGCCTCCTTGCTTTCTCGAGCAATGTCCAGCAAATCGCCTGGCAGATGCCCCAGTTGTCCGGATTTCGAACAGACCGTCTTTGTCGGAGGGTTAACCCCACGTTTCAGAGGTCCAATGGAAAGCCAGGGGCGCACAGGCGACGATACAGGCAAACCAAGGAGCGAATGGTGGGCAAATTGCAGGCTTCAAGACCTAGAAGGTACACGATTTGACCCCTTAGGGAGAGTTTCAGCTAAGGCAGGTGCTTTTTAATAGTTTCAGCTGAGAGCTGGAACTGGCTCCAAATGCTGGTTGCACCACATGGAGACCCTTTCCCCTGTAGGAAGCCAGCTGAAACCATCATGTCAGAATTAGAATCACTCCCTGATTTCCTGAACTTTGTACTTTACTGCAAAACCATTTTAGTGGTAAACAAAAGGCTCAGAGTTTTTTTGCCCAATCCACTCACAAGTGAGTACAGGTAAAAATACCTGGCTACCTGCTATAATTAGTGGCAACTGGAAGGAGAGGGAATCCGTCAGTCGCGCCGCTTTTTTGCAGATTGCGTCCACGAAGAACAGCATTGCCACGGCCAGCGGGGGCGACTACGTGGCCCCCACCTTCAGCCGCAGCCTCGTTTTGATGTCGCTGGGTTGGGTCTTTCGATGACCACGCGGAAAGTTCAAGTCGTTTGGCATTGAATGCTTACGAAGAAATGGTGGATATCCCGCTGGTTTCTCTTCAAGCCAGCCTGTAAGGGTGCCCTCAAACTGTTGCTTTGGTCAGGTCTATGGTCCAGTTGGGAGGGACGTGGGACTCTCTACTGAATCGTCAGCGACGAGGTGCCGGGTTGGTTCACGCCAGAGCGCCCTTGCTTGGGACCCCACCGGGAGAAAGGGCTGGCGATGTGAGCGGTTTTTGTTTGCTTCGCAGGCGTCATTAAACCAGACCTCCAATGCTGCCCTCTGTTGCCTTTCTGTACGTAGTTTCCCTGAAACTGGCCCAATCATATATCATCAAAGGCAGCCCCAAACTGGTAGGATAAAGGGAAACCCGCCCAGTTTCTGACTTTCACACCCCCAGTTATCAGTCAAAATAGTGACCCTACTTGAAATGAACTACCAAAGAGTGGAACGCCATAGGATTGTGCGACTTCATGTTGGCGTGTCAGCTTCTGGCGCCAGGCCTCTGCCCGCATATGGGCCGCAGATTGGCTGTCTGACAGGTTGGAAGGAGATACTTGAGAACAGGCTGATGGTGGGTCATAAGCAAAGGACGGTACCGGGGTCTCCTCCATAAATTTTGTTATTTTAGGGTAGACAAACAATAGGAATCAGAAGCAGTCAATTGTATTTTGGGGGGACATGCTGTTGCTCGGTCAACCAAAAGGGCGGTAGTCCATCATATTGCAAGTTAACCAACAGAGTGTAGCGCAACATAGGGAGCAACCTCAGTTCCCCATGCAGGGGTTTCCACTACACAGCCTGTGTGTGGACACGCGCGCCCTTTTGAGGGTACCTTTTTTGGGATTGGCTTAAAGGGCAACCAAAAGGAGACTAATTATTTTGAGGGGTGCCCTTATTTTGGACACTGGAATTTCAGAATGGGGGCTTTTCATGCTTGAGTTCCAGTTTTTTTGTTTTTAATCAACAACCAAACCCTCCAACTTTTGAGCTGTGATTTGGTGTCTTCGTTCATACTTTTAGGCTTCAGAGCGTTTCAGTTTCAAATGACGAGTCTACATGCCAGACAAGTCCACAGGATCCATTCAGGCTTCAATCCCAGCTACTCCTCCCTTTTGGCCACTCCCTCGAGTTGCACCGAAGCAAGGATCCGAGCCAAGGGCCCATTTGAGCTATCGAGGCTTCTCAACTATCAGTGTTTGGCGGCCACAAAATTGCCGTTGGGCGATTGTCAGTTGGGGGAGGACTGGGGGCCACCCAAATATTCCATAAATCAGGGTCACGAACCAATGTCCCATGTCCTCCTGCGGAAAGGATGACTTTTGCCAGCTTTTCGCTTTTCGTTCGGTCGAGGCTGGGTTTTGCCGACCAGCGTGTCCGAAAGCAACGCTGTGACGGTGTACTTCCAGCTGAACGAGGATGGCACTGTCTGGTGTGTGGCCAAGGAAGACGCAGGACGTGACCAGTCCAGGGTTTCGGGCAGAGTTGTCCGTTTGAGACTACATCAGTTGTAAATTAGTCAAAATAGGGGGACCCAATAAATGGAAGGAGGTCTTCCTTTTGGTCTCCGTTCAAACGCAGGTGAAAAGGGTGCCCCGTAAAAAAACGGGAAACACACATGTCGATTGCTCCCCAAACTTGTGCGAGAACTCTGGCTGAGGGCTCAGAGGTGCATTTTATTCGACAGCCTTCTTCTGGCCCAGCGATCGGGCACAAGCCCATTGGCAGTGTGGGCCTGAAAAGGCGCCTTTCTGAGGTGCAAGCTCTTCCCATGGACATCCAAACCCCTGCAACGAAGGGTTGATGCCTTCCGGGTGGGTCAACATTATCCCGCCCAGGGAAACAGAAGCTGCAGACTTTTGCAGGAGAATTGCACGCGATCTGAGTGGCGCGATGTTTGTTCATTCAGGCTATTATGCTTGGCTTATGGGGAGATTCTGGTGATTGTTCATTAGTGTTCGCCAATTGGGTGTGTCCTTTTCTTGAGAGTACCTCTTTTTGAGTGGTTTGCAAGGGAAAAAGAAGGAGGCCGACTATTTTTTGGATCCCCGAATCACCCCTAAATTCATCATCCAGTGCACGAATTTGGGTTCCCACTACTGGCCTGGCTGTTGTTTCTGGATTCTGCTCACTTCCAGTGCAGGCTTTGTTTGTATGAAGTTGCTCTTTGCCAAGGGAATCACCTCCCAAGAAACATGGAATCTGAGAGGTTCCTGGACAACCATTTTCCTGGGGCCTGGCGGCTCCATGTTGGAAGGGCATGGTGGGTGGGCATTCTACTCGCGCCTGAGTGACCTTGTCCCAAGGGACCCGCTCCCCGGCAAACAAACGGTTTGTTCCTTAAAGGAACCAAACATATACTTAACCCTAGGAGGGGGGGGCACAGTTTCGAGGTCCCAGCCGTGGAAAAGAAAGATAGGACTGGGCACTACGACGCCCACCTCAGGGGAGATTCTCCTGAACTCGAAGCTTCGCTGCTACTCTCCCATTTGGGCCACAATCAAAACCCGGGTAGATGAAGGTTATTAGGGGATACTCCCCACCATAAATGGGTGAAGCCGCCTTTACGTCTTTCTGGGTAGACCCTGTTAATGCTAGTTTTTGAGTGTCACTGTTTGCGCTTTGGAAACTAAGGGACCTGCTTGAACATCAGCTTCCCAGATTCATGCATTGTTTTCTTTAACACGCATCATGTGAACAGAAGCTGGCTGCCCTTAAGGCCAGCGTGTCCCTCCTGAGTGCAGTGCGGCACAATCGATTCTCACCCACTTAAGGGTTCTTAGATGATCCATCAGAACACTATCCCTACCCCACTAAAAAACAAGAGGTGGTGTCCTTTTTGTCTGGTGGAAAAGGCGCTGCTTCACATAGCCGAATGCGCTTGAGGAGCTCTGAACAAAAATTGTATTGCTCCATCGCCATGATAGAGAAACCAGTCTGTCTACCCAGAAAAGCTTAAACCAATAGAAAGATACACATCTTCCATGAAAACAAGCAGCTACTGTATACCACATGGCGTTCCATGCTGGGCTCATTCAAGTGATCCTGAGAATTATCCTCAGGGTGAAACGGTTTCAAAGCTTCTCCGGAGTAATTTGGAAGGCCCAACATGCAACTTTAAGGGGCCCAACATGTAAATGGTGCAATGGTTCCAAAACCTGAAACTTGCGGATTAGATCCCCAAGTGAAGGCTGTTGCTCGCACCTTCAGACAGATCCAACCGAACAAACCTAATACTTCGATTTGCTTAAGTCCCCTGGGCAAGCAACATGGGTGTGTCTTTTTGGAATTGGCGGGTTGGTTTACGAAGGACACCAAAAAGAAGCCAATAGCGTTTGTTGGGTCCCCTAATTTGAACAACACACACATCTGAAGCACACACTCTATTCTGAAGCAAATGAGTCCCCTTTTGGTGGATTTAATCATCACTGTTTGAGCCCATTTAGAGTGAGTTTCCTTTAAGCGGCCCTCGTCGGACCTGGAAATAACAGCTAAAAGAAAGAAGACGAGAGTTATTGCTCATTGAATCGCCCCATTGGGGTTTGAGAATCGGCCCATTGAGGGGGGGTTGACAACCATAGGATGAACAGTCGCAATTGACGAGCAACCCTTTTTTACGGTTGGTTTAAAGGAAACTGAAGGACACCCCTCATTTGGGTCCAAAGGCCGGGTTGAGGTTCCTTTTGGGTGCCTTTTCCGGGTCTCTTGTTGGGGCCTTGACGATGTGGACCCAGGAACGTGGATTCCTGGGGCACCCAAACCGTGGAAGCCGCCTTGAGCTATAAGGCGCGGATCCCACGACTTTGAATGGATCGACCTTTCAACCAGCCAATTTCAACTGACCAGCATACCAGCTAAAGGGAACAATTTTGTTCAGGCTCCCGTGTGGGTGCGTGGGTGTTTTTGGCGTTGGGGCCCTTTTTCAGGTTGGGTCAAAGGGAAGCCAAGTGAAAGGCTGAAGCCATTTCGGGGGTCCGAGTCCCATTTTGAGACACCGAGATTTGAAGCTTAAAACCTTCAACCAGCAAACTAAGCAAGAAATCAAAAGCTTACCACGTCAACTGCAACCAGGTTTTAGTGAGTCAAGTGTGTTGTCCAAATTGTATTATTTCCAACTAAACAACTAAGCAACAAACAGGTACATTTTAGTTCCAGCGGTCCTAAGTGGTCCCAAAATCCCAGTAACGTGGCTGGCTGGAGCCCTCAAATTTGCAAAATGGGTCTGTCTTTTCGTCTGAGGGTGTGCTGCCTAGGGAAGCCATTTCTATTTATTTGACACATGGAGCGTTGGGCCAGGAGACAAGTCTTCACGTTCAAAAAACAGAATTGCTAGAGGAAACGCGCTTGCAGGATCTTCCAGGATTCTCTTTCAGGGTGTTGTTCTTGGAACTCGCATTGAACACTTGGGTGTGTCTCAAAATAGGACCCGTTTCCAAAAGTGTTCGAGTTTTCGGCTCTCCGAAATTCATGTTTGCGGGGTGCAATTCCTTTGATACAAAGATTTTAGGGCCAATTTCTGCACGGGACAATTCACATGTTCAAGTCGGGATGGCATACCAGATTTTCCGCTTTGTTTCAATCGGAGATACTTTTTGGCACATGATTCTCCGAAGACCCTGATTCACAGAGGAGTCTCCTGTTGGGGGCAGCCCCTTGTGGGGTTCCAGATCCGTGAGCAGTTATCCATTTGGCAGAAAAGCCCAGGGGGTCGGTGCTCGCGAATTGGAGTGTTTGAGGGAGAACCCAAATGTCTGTTGGTTTTACATGGTTTGCGCCATGTATGCAAACAGAAGCCCTTTGTGGTTAGTGAGGATTGCACCCGCCGGTTTCAAGCAGTTTGTCGGGGTCCTTCAGGTTGTTGATGATATGCAGCAATGATAGTGCGTTCGCCCGGCTTCATTTCGACTGGCCGAAAGCCAAGAGCCCTGCAACAAACGTGGTTTAAGCATGATTCACGTTGCTTCCAGTTGCCAGGTGAGTTCGCAAGTCGACATCTGGTTGCATCTTTCAGCTTGCCTTTGACTAAAATTGTGGTTGAACATACTATGTTTAAGTCTACGCTTGGGGTTGAACGTGGACCAAGGTACCCTTTTCAGGCTTCCCTATTAGCTGTTGACGGAAGTGTATGGCCAACGAGTTCAATCCAGGCATCCATCAAGCTGGACGGGCTCAGGGAGGGAACGACCTACGACGTCTACTGCTTCGCCGAGGACCGGATGTAGGATGTGGGAAATGGAGGTCGTTTCTTCTTGGAGATGGTTGAATATTCTGGGGGTGAGTCGCATTTACCGTAATCTGCCATTTTGTGCGGTTGGATCTGGGATGTGGCTGGTTCCCAACAAGCAGATCAGCCCAGAAGATGCGAAACAGGCTGGGAATGCCCCGCGAACCCTCCGGAACCCCACGTAGCCCAAAGCAGTTTCGAACCATCTCAGAGCCAAGTGGGCTTGATGATAGGCTGGTGAATGCATCTAATCCGCTTGGCTTCATCCTTTGTTGGTTTTAGCTTGGTGAGCTATGATTGACCAAGGTCTTCCATTCGCGTTTCAGACTAAGTTCTTTGTTTTCCCCTGTCGGTCTTAAAGGGCATCTACGACTTCCTATTTCCAGTGGCCTTAAGCAAACGGAGGCCCAAGGCCGTCCAATCCCTTTGAAAATTGAAACGCTTGAAGAGGACACCGCTGGGAATTTCCTGGACGGCACGCCGGCCTACGCGGCAGATCCAGGCATGGGGAAGATTTTTTTTTTTTTTTTCGGGGGGAGTGTTGGTTGGGAAAGTGTTGGTTGGGGAAGTGTTGGTAGGGAGTGTTGGCTTGGGGGGGGAGTGTTGGAGTGTTGGAGTGTTGGAGTGCTGGAGTGTTGGTTGGTTGGTTGGTTGGTTGGTCGGTCGGTCGGTTGGTTGGTTGGTTGGTTGCCTCCCTCCAATCATGGAGGTGGGCATGAGGCTTCCCCAAAAGGAAAGTAGTCTTCAAAGCACCCTGCTGTCAGCCTGTGAACCTCCAGTTGGGAACCCTCCTTCCTGACAGCCTTCGAGCCTGTCTAGTGGGAAACAAGCTAATACCACGCTGATCCCTGTTAAAGTTACGCAGGGCCCACTTTAGTATTTTGGAGCTGATTTTGTACCTGGGCCAGCCAGCACGAAGCGATCAAAGCACCACAAGCTGGTCGGCTTTGGGGCCGGACCAGCTCCAGCCTGCAACCAGCCGTGGATAGATCAGTACTTCGTGCCCGGAAAATATCTTGCTTTCTGGTCGGAACTCTTCCAGTGTGATGCCTTCCCGGCCTTGTGTTCTCCGTGGGGCCAAGTCTCTACCCCTAGACAAGCAAAAGGGAGCAACCCGGAGGGTGTGAGGCTTGCCTGAATCTAATGCATGGCTCATGTATTATGCACGGGAACTGAGCCACGGTCAATATTTAGGGTGTCTTTTTTTGAGGGTACCCCTTTCTTGTGGTTTTTCTTTTGGCAACTAAAAGGAAAATCACCATTCTCGGGGGTCCCCTTAAAAAAGAGACGCACCCACAGTGTCATTTGTAGAACTGGTAAAGGGAATGACAATACCAAATGTCCATGCGAGGTTCACTCAAAATATGCAGTAGTCGATGTGCCTTTGAACAAAGGCATGGAGGACTCACTAAAATGTAATTACCAAAACCCAGGGCTCGCAAATGTCCCATGTCGTGAACGGGAACCGTGTGCTTCCTTTCTTCATAATTAGAAGTGAGCCTCCCTTTAAACTCACCTACACAAATTTCCCTTGTTTGTGGTTTCCTTTCGAGACAACAGGCTGGCTCTGAAGGGTTCCAATCAATCCCGAAGTCCCCCCGCCCCCCCCCCCCCATTGATAACCCTCTGACTCGAGAATGAGTCTCCCTAGGCAAAGAAAGAATGGCAGCCTTGTGTTGGCACCCTTTCGCATCCGCAAGAAGCTCTATCGAAAGGGGAAAGGGATCTCCGGGAAGCAGTTGGGCAGCTGTTTCTCTTTGCTTGTGGTCAGACATCCTATTTGACAAGTGGGTATGGGTCAAAATTAAACCAGGGGACCGCAGGGTTTGGTCCATGTGTCCACTTACCAGGGCAACCCATTTTGGGTACATATTTTGGACCCACAGCCAAGTTGAAATGAAAGTTCTTGGAACAATGGGGTTTGTGCCAGAGTGGGCCGAGGGCGGGACCCCTTCAAAACAAACCAAAATGGAACTCCCTGAAGCAAATATGCAGGGGCGGTATCCCAGAAGCCCCGAAACTTCCGGAACCCTCTCTGAAAGCTGCGCCGAACCAACCCGGAGCTTCTTTGGGCAGAGACCCCAAAGCTTTCAGCTGCCAGGCAAAACAGCTCCCCGAAAAAATGAGGGTGCCGATTGAATACCAGCTGGTCTTAGTATTTTTAACTTAAAGCCAAATGTAAACCTGCAATCTTGAACTCCCTCTTCGACACGTTTGGGGCTTTCGCGGCACAACGGGCGCGCTTTTGCGCGCGCAGAGAACGCGCGTTTGTGCGCACAAAAACGCGCGAGGCAAGATCACGGCCACCAAGCTGAGCGTCACCACCTTGTCGGTCTTCATCGCATCCCGGCTCCTGGTGACCGCCCCGAGCGCCGCCCAGTGACGCGCCCGAAAGTGGGACGCGCAGATTTCCGAGGGCGCCACCAACTTGACTGGTGTTTCCCAGAAAAAGAACAAACTAGACCACGGTTGGCCCGAAAGCATAACATCACAAGCGAGGTCGGACAAACGCTGCAGGATGCGTTCTTTTTCCGTACACGAAGCATTCGCGAAGCAAGGCTCATGGCCTGTCGGCTCATTGAGTGAAACAAAAGCACGCGTTAGCCCGCGCGACGTGATCTTGCTGCGGAAGGCGGAGGCCACGGCAGCAATCCAGGCTGATGCCGTCGATGGCTGGATCGCCAGCGTGCCGCCCGGCTGCAAGCGCGAGTCCAAGGAGGGAAGAAGCAGGATGATGTCATGTTGGAAAGCTGTCTACGAAGCTATCGCACAATTCGAAACCCTTAACTTACTCACTGCAAAACACCGCTGCTGTTTTCTTCTTTGCGGCGAGCCGGTCTATTTGAGCGCCACGTGACCATCGTCCACACGACAGCGTAAGAAACGTCGATGGCCGGTAAAAAAGCAACGCAGCGCCTGTCTCGCAGCACAAAAACAATATCAATCACCCATTCCAGAATCTGCAAAGCCATGGCATGCAAGCTTGGCAAAAGCGTCAGCCCAACTCCAGCTGATGAAGCTCGAGGCAAGCTAGTCTCATCGCCAGCTCGCACGCTCGCCTGTCTCTCCCCCATATATGGAAGCGAGCTCACAACTCGGACCGTGCTGCAGAGGGAATATGGAACGCGAGAGGGCGGACAAAAATGCACAGAGCACCAGCAACAATGCAAACAGCAAGACACCAGCCAAGAGACGAAATCGTCGCAAGCTAGCGCCCCAGCGCACAACTGTTTGCAAATTGTGCTAGTGGGTTTGGGTTAGGAGGTGCACGGTTTGCGCCAACTGCGAAACGTTGCTGTTGACAGCCAGGAGATCACGCCGAAGCACCTGAATGTCTAACTGCAACTCACGTTGAGCCGCCTGAATGTCCAATTGCAACTGTTCATTTGTCACAATGGCTGTGGACTCACTCTGAATGTCAGCGTCCATACAGAGCCGTCGCAAGAACGAAGAGGGCCACGCCCTCCCTCCACTTGAGCATGAAACAAACGTGAGACAAACGAGCCAAGGCCTGCGCAAAGAGGATATCTCTTGAGCAACTGAGCCGACATGCTAACGCAAATGCAGTCTTCTTTTCCTCGCCTGCGCTGCTACCTTGGCAGGGCGTCGGATGGAAGTAACATCGCGTCGAGCACAGGCGCGATCGTCCGCATAACAAACTGGACTACGAAGCAAATCAAGCATTCTCACGCAGAGAACGTCCGCACGACAGCGTCTGTCTCGACTGACAGCCTCCCCGCGCATCGCAGACAGCCCAATAGCCTACTGCGCTGGCCGCACTTTGCCAACGCAGCGGCGCCGCTTCGCAGCCGGCTGGCTCGAGTCTGCGCTGGCACGAAGTAAGACAGTCGCTTTCACAGATTATATGTGTTGTCCGCCCAGCCGAGGTCGCGGATGTCCTTCTCCGCTTCTTCCAGGCTGCGGCCGGAGATCGCCTCGAACTCCCGCATTCTCGCGACCAGCTTCTCATTGTGGTCGCACAGAAAGGACTCGAAGCATTCCCTCCTCGGCAAGTCCACCAGAGTCAGATCACAAAGCTTTGTCGCGCGAGACAACATCACATACACTGCCAGTCCGTAGTCTGCGTCTCTCATCCACGAAGGCTTGGTCAAGAAAGCAACAAGCCCTTCTCGGGCTGTGATGCCCTGCAAGCCAAAATGGCTCAGCACTTGACGTGGTGCCAACGGCACCTTGCAGGTGCCAACAGCGACCAAAAAAAATCAACGCATATCAAAATAAGTAAGAGTCAAGCCGGCAATAGCAAACATCTTTTCGTTTAGTTCCGAAAACTTGTCACCACGCCTGCTTGCGCACAATATTGATCTTCTCCTGGCACTTGCATGCTTAGGTCGTCAACCTCCACCAAAACAGCCAAAGGCTGATAGCTCAGCACCACGCAAGCAGCTCCTAGTGGGAATGTGGGCTCTTTGGGGCAGGCGACGCACCACCACGGGCAGCTCGCGAGTCAGCAAAGGCTCTGGCAAGATGCACGAGATGCGAGCCTTCATACCGACAAACAGCGGGCACATGCCCATCAGGTATACCCGGTCTTGGTCATGCTCAAGACCTTGAGTGCCATGGCAGTGTGCTCGGCCGTCAAATTCTGACTGCCAGTCGGCTTGTCGATGGCTTGCACGAAGTATAACCTCTCCCCCGCTGCTTGCGCCTCCAGAGTAGCCCTCATGTGCTGCAGTCGCGCCACCTGCTCCCAGGCAAAGCCGCCCCAGTGCGCAGCCATGAGCTTTCGTTTTTCCTTCGCCCGAGCCAAAGATTCGGGATCGAGTTCGCGGCTGCGCAGCATCTCCCAGAGCGCAGCAGGCATGCTCGTTCCGCTTCGCATGTGTCCAAGGATGCGCACAAGCGCTTGCCCGGACTCGCAACTGCTGAAGCGGCCGGCGCCCGTGAAGTGCACCACCTTCTTTGCGGAGTTTCTGAAGAGAAAGCGACCCAGCTCCGACGCGTTGCTGACCTCGAGAACGTTCAAGCCCATTAAAGCAACTCAAAAGAAATGAAAGCTCTCTCCTATCTTGTCATGTTCTCTCACGCCTCGCCTCTGCGTCTGGGCTCAGCTCTGCCTCCAAATCTGGAGCAGCAGCGGTGGCCGCGGGCGCTTCCAGCCACTCGCAAAGGCTTTTCTGCGCCGCTGGCCGTAGCTGCAAGAAGTCCCCTAGCTGCAGGCCGACGGGCATGCCCCCGAACCATTCGTCTAGGTAGCGGGAGAGGTCCAGCGACAAAGGCTGCGCTCGCTGCAAGGAGAAACGGTAGCCGGCAGCATGGTACACGTCTGGCGGAGTCATGGACAGCTCGTCCAAAACTGCAGCCCGGGCTTCGACGATTTGCTTTTCAAGCAGATCGTTTTTGCCCTTGTGGACACGTAAAGATTTGCGGTCCAGGCCAGAGCTTGGGCTGACATTGGCGAGCTTGCGCAAAGCGCGCGCCTCGCGCCCAAGCAAGCGGACAGCTGCGTGGGTTGGAGCTCCGACGACATAGCCTTCGCGTCGAAAAAAGCGTTGCAGTAAAGGACGGATGACTTTCATGTAGGCCCACGTCTTGCCGGATCCGCCCGCTCCCAACCAAAGGCAGTTGCAGCGCTCGTCGGCCTGGCCATCAGCACGGTGTCTGCTGGGATCAGTGCGTCGGGCCCACATCCGATCTATTGCAAGGACAACGGGCGCCACAGCTCGGATTTGCTGCTCGTTGAGAGTGCTCTCCTGCCACTACGAAGCACTGTGCTGTGCCACTGTCTCCCTGTCAAGCTAGCTTCCTAGCAAATGCCTAACATATCCTGCCACATAACAAACATACAAACATCGGCGACTTCGATTCTACATTTGCAAGAGACAACACATCTCCTCGAGCAAGCGGGCAGCGTAGTCTGCCGGCCGCAAGTTCTGGGCGTTGAGCTCGGCGAGAAACGGATCCTCGGGTAACTCCGGGTCCGCTGCATCTGCCTGGCCGGACTCGTGCACGTCCAACTCCTGATCGTCTGCCACGCCTCGTGGTGTCCAGCAAAATTAAGTAGCAAAACCAAACACAACGATGTTTTTGGACCCGAGCAACTAGCGCCACAAATACGCGCCAAGCACAGAGACGATCGTCCGCACGACAGCGTCAGTCTCGACGTCTGGCTCTTTTGCTTTGCGCAACGTTGCTTCGTTTCCGCTTCCATGAAACCCCATTTTAAAAACACTCTTCTGCGCTGGACGCGAAGCAAGCACGTGCGCGCGGCAATCCTAGCCTCCAGCAACTTGCTGCAGATAAGCCCGCTGACAATGGAAAGCAGTCTCGGCCATGTCGTGAGTCCAAGTCCTGCGGCCTCCAGCGCAGCCAGACGATGCTTCGTGGACTGCCGCGGCGATGTTGGGCACGCCGCCCAGGGCTTCCACCACCCGCATCAGCTTGCGCAGCGCCATCTTGTTTTGGCTGTCTCTGCCTGCCATGACGCGGTGCCATTCTTTGTCACGAAACAGCACCTCCGTCAGGTCATCTCGGGCCACTGGGTGCTGCGCCCGGTAAGCAGCGTCCGCCTACTCGAGGTCATTGCCCATGTCCTCGCCTTCAATCTGTGCAGGGCCATCATCGTCCTGAAGGCAGCGCGCATAACTATTCGCCGTATTCTTCTAGTCAAATCGAAGAAACACAACCCATAATCGATTGACATCCCTCCGACCTCGAGGTCATCGCCGTTGTCTTCCTTGGCAATGTAGGCAAAGCGCTCCGCTCGTCGCTGGCTACTACTGACTTGGCGCGTAGAGTGGTGCAAGCAAAGGCGCTCCAGCCACACTTCCTGGACAATCGCCATGTGCTCGATCGGAGTCAGCTGCGCGTAATGAAAGCCCACAGGAAAATCCAAGAACCAGCATATACGCTCATGGATTCGCGGCAAGTCAGCGAAAGCAACGCTACGTCCACAAAAGAGCCTGCCCCAGCACCACATGAGAAAGTATGCTTGGCCGCGAGCCACAGCGAGCTTGATTCTGCTGCGAGCCTGCTCCTCAGACTCAACGGCGCCAGCTTCCGCCTGCTGATGAAGCTCTGGCACTGCCAGCTCTTGCTCGTCGTCCCGGACAGCCTCGAAGTCTGGCAAAAGATGCTGCTCCGACGCAGACTGCTCCATGCCGGGAAACCATTCCCGAAGTCCGACCGCGTCTCGCATAAGGCAAGGCAAAGCCAGAAAGCAGCCTTTCCTGAGCAGACTGTCGCTTCACTTGCAAGAAAGATTTGTAATGCTTCCACATGGGCTTGTACCTGCTGCGAATATCGCCCTTGCCCTCCGAGAACTCTAGGCTGTGGCACTCGAAGCATTTCCAAGACTCCTGGCAGGCATCAGCACCAGGGCATCGTGGAAAAAAAGACAGCCCCAGCAGGTACATGGCATACTTC